CACGTGGGTGTACGGGTCCTGTACGAATAGCAGCACTGTGTCAATGTAATGAAGCAACTTTATGTTGTTAATAACAGTGATCTTCTCATATTTTAAAAGCAACAATGCTTTTAAAAGATAAATGGCAGACAGTCCTACTAAAAAACAATTTTCTATATTTATTTTTTTTAACAGGATCATTTTTTTATTAAGCACTCAAAACATTCCGCTTTATAGTTAGCAATAAAATTTCTTACACTGGGACTTTCAGCGTCGCCTGTCGGTGAACAATACTATTGCATTGTCTGTCTAATTTAAACTAAATGCACTATTTTGCTTTTAGAAAACTTCCAAATGTTTCCTATTTTTCTATCCAATAAAAAGTGCAGACTCGAATATGTGGTTAACGAGTTGATGAGTTGCTTGATTACTGAATTTCTATGGATTTTCTCATACAAACTGCAAGGTATTCTATCGAACTCCATAGACACGCTATGGCATTCCATGAAACTGTATCGGTACTTCAGGGAACCCCATGGCATTCCATGGAACTCTACAATATTCCATAGAATTCCATGGATTTCCATAGATTTCCATGGATTTCCATGGAATTCCATGGTATTTCACACGGGTTCCCTTTCAGTCTTTTCCCAAGGGAGTGTGTTGGCGGTTTCATGCCGGACAATTCTGCAGGGGATGCAATTTCAAACACTCCTGCTTCAAATGTGGATCATTAATGATGGTTTCCCTAAGGACTAGCCACTGTGAGATATGCAACCATTGATGATGCCATTCGTCTTATTAAATCGTTAGGGAAGGGCTGTTTTCTGGCGAAAACGGACATTAAATCAGCTTTCCGAATTATTCCCGTAACCCCCCACGATTTTCCGTTGCTCGGCATGGAATGACAGGGAAAGTGCTATTTTGACAAATGCCTTCCCATGGGGTACTCCTCGTCGTGTAATATATTTGAAATCTTCAGCACTGCGTTAGAATGGATCGCTATGAACAAACTAAACGCGTCGGCGGTCATACACATTTTAGACGACTTTTTATTTATTGCGCCCTCTAAAGAAAAATGTCAAGGAGACCTCAATAATTTTGTTACTGTTTGCCAACGTATAGGCATTCCGATCGCCAACGAAAAGACTATGGGGCCTGACAGAGCTTTACAATTTGCAGGCATCACGATAGATACCGAATTGATGGAGGCTCGCCTTCCTGAGGAAAAACTTGACAAATGCCTATCCCAGTTGAGCTACTTTTGTTCGCGTAAAAGCGCTACTTTAAAAGAGCTGCAGTCATTAATAGGGCTTCTCAATTTTGCCTGCTGTGTTGTGGTGCCCGGACGCGCTTTTCTCCGCCGTTTAATTGTAAAATTAAACGAGACTTACCTGTAAGTTGAAGTTTGATTGAGATTCTATCGAGTCACCAACTGCACCAAGGGATCACATGAGATTGCCTAGCGCATGCGCAACATCAGTATTCACAGCCGAAATGTGAATGGGAACAATGTATAGTAGTATTGCCTCAGAAGAGAGGTATAAGCCGTAATGGGTGGGCATACTAGAGTCATACCGTTACAAACCAGGGTGGGCATGTGATCCCTTGGTGCAGTTGGTGACTCGATAGAATCTCAATCAAACTTCAACTTACAGGTAAGTCTCGTTTAATTTTACAATTCT